GACTGAGCAGGTGGGTCTGAGACCAGCCTGAGGCTGGGAGGGGTGAAGTGTGCGAGGAGGAAGGCGGGGCAGAGCCAGGGGCCACAGGACAAGGGGTCTAGAGAGGAAGCTCTGGGGTGGGGAGGTGCTGGGGCTGCGGGGCATCAGGGCTGGGCGCACCTGTAGCTCCCGCTCATCACCACCGCGCAGTCCACCAGGAGGAACTTCTCCTTCACATGGCCCTTGAAAGACTTCCCAGTGCGGCAGTAGTACGTGGGGCCGGCCACAGTGCGCACACGCAAGAACTGGGGGGTGAGGGGGAGGAGTTAGGTCTCTGCGGAGGCTCTTCCCCCTTCCCTCCACCTTCCTCCACGCTCCGCACTCACATCCACGTGGTGCAGGTTGACGCGGCACTTGTCCGCCATGTCTAGAAAGTGCTGCGCATTCATCTCATCCAGGAGGATGTAGACTGGGACGCGGCGCGCTGCGGCCTCCAGCACTTCGCTGAGCAGGTCCACATCCGTGAACATGTCCATCACCACGGCCACCACCTGCAGGGTTCAGGACAGGGGTCGAAGGGCAGGCCCTTCTGCTGTCCCCATCGTTCTCTAGCTATACCTATCTGCCCAGGGGGGCCTCTGGTTCAGCCACAAACATTTCAACAGCCACTAGCCCATCCCAGGGGAGAATGGAGTCAGGAGGAGGCTGTCATAGGAGGTGCGGGGATGCTGGCCAGGTGGGTAGCCCATGATGGAGCCGTGCGCAGGCACCAGGCCTGCATTCTGTTGGGAAAGGCTGCCTCTCAGCTGGGGGTGGGTGCTCAGCTCACCCCTGGGCAGAGCCCTGGATGGGGCAAAGGCAAGGTGACTGAAGCCCCTGTGATCCCACCTTGCCACAGATATCTGAGCTCCGCGACCCTGGACAGGCATCAGGGCAGAGGGTAGAGCAAGGGGTCTTCAGCATCTGGACCTGCGGCCGCCGTGGCCTAACAGGTCCCTTTGCTGTTTGCCAAGTGCTTGGTGGTTGGGGTGAGGGGTGAGAAGCCCTCAGCTGCATCAAGGGCAGGACTAGAGAATTCTATGAAGAACAAATCCAGGCCAGGAGAGGACCCAACCACCTCGGAGCCCCTGAACTTCTAGGCACTAGCCATGACCATGGGGCAAGAAAACCTGTGCAGTCTGCGCCTTGCAGCCTGCAGTAACCCAACCTTTGATGACCCTGGAAGTCTGCAGAAAGCCCTAGCTGCAGCTGGCATGCTCACACTCATGCTTCTAGGTCCAGCTCAGGCCGTCCTGCCCCGCTGCCCACCACGCCCATGACAGCACACCTGCTGGGCAGAACGGATCATCCTTCGAGCCTCATCCTTGATGCTGGGACTGTCAGGCGGTGGCGGCTGCACCAGTGTGGTGACCTCAGTGCCCGGGAAGCCGAAGGTCAGGGGCCAGCCCAGGTCGAGCTCAGGCACCGCCTGGTCTGAGTTCATGGGCCAGTAGGTGCCCGAGGAGCCATCCATGTCCACGTTGGGAGGGCTGCCTTCTGGGGGCTCCTGAGCCACATGCTGCGGTGGCCGCAGGTGGCAGCTCACGTGCTCCAGCTCCTCAGGGCACAGGAAGGCGGGTGCCCCCTCGGACGCCAGGAAGCTGCTGTAGGCCTCTGGCCCGCCTTCAGCCAGTGCATCCACTGCCAGGCGGTAGTACTCTTTGTAGTGAGGTGGCAGGTACCCGGGTGCCAGTGGGTTATCCCCCTGCGAGGAGCTCTGGGAGCGACGGGCCATGTTGGGGCCAGGGGCCTGGGGGACAGGGAGGAACTCATTATGGGGGCAGGGTACTGGATCCCCCCCACCCCATGCAACGAGTGGACACACATCGTGGAATGGCTGTCAGTGACCTGGGGGATGCTGTGAAGTTCAGCCCATGCTCAGAGGCCTTTAGGGCACCCCCAGACCCTAGGTGTCCCTAGCTGGGGGACATCGACAGAGGTCCCTGACTCCTGCTGCTCTGGCTCCAGGCAGTTCTGCTCTATGAGCCTTTTCCACCATAAAACCTTAACAATGACTGTCGGTATAAAAGAAAATACCATCTACGCTGGAGATTTTATATTCACTTTTTTTCTTCTGATTTTATGACCATATTTTTGTGAGTCTCTGGTTCTGTGGGTACAAGTTGAATAGCCCACTGCCTGTGTTTGTCCCCACTGCAGGACCCCGGGCCACTCCATCTGCTCTGGCACCTTACCTCCATTGTGATGTGCAGCTGTAGCGGATGACTCCCTACCACGCCTGGCCCAAGGTGAGCTCAGTACATTTGTCCCGCCAGAGACAGAGTTCCGCCCCATCTTCAGCCCCTTGCCACAGCTGCACCCACCCTACAGGGTCCCCCCGCCCCTTTCCCTCTCCCTGAAGCCAGACTTCTGGGCTTATGCCCTCGTAAAGCATGTGCTCGGAGTCCTGTCGCAGCCAAGCCCAGCCCAGTGTGGCAGCTGTGCTCTTTCCAAGTCTCCTTGTCACACTGCCTTGCTCCGGTAGAAGTCAGAGCCCTTTGTTGTGGCCGTGGGGCTGTCCTAGGCTCTGAACGTGCCTCTCCACCCTCACCGCTGCCCCAGCCTCCCACGCCTCCCACGGGCCTACTTGGGAAGCGGCCGATGGCCTCATAGCAAGGCCCATCTACATGCGCCCTGAACTACCTGGATACCTGTCCGCCTCCTACCCGGAAGAACAGCAGACACTGCTCACCCTCCCCGCTGCTCGGGAGCGGGATGGGGCGGGGCTCGCGGGTTCCCGGATGCAGCCTCAGCAATGACTAGCCTGGATCGGGGCTCCGTCGTATTTGATGACATGGGGGAAACTTTTCTGTCTGCCTTTCCTGGAGGATGACAGGCTAACTGAATGTGACCTGGGGGGTGCGAGATGTAGGATCCCCGTGTGCCACTCAGACGCTACCCAGTTCCACACTGAGGTGTCCTGACATTCCGTTATGGGGGCAGTGTCCTCTGACTGCACCTAGTTACATACGGGGTGGCCATTCTGGCCTTGTACTAGTGCCAGGCTGCGGAATGCCACATGGGGGCACGGGGGGGGTGGGCCTGTCTGGCCGTGCCAGGGTCTCACACTATATGAGGGAATGGGCACTGCGGTGTCTGGCTATGTAGCGTCAGTGTCGACCACACAGGGCGCAGGGCACTTCCTGTGTCTGGAGCGACACACTAGAGGGGTACCGTCCCCTCTAACCTGCTGCATGCCCGGGGGGGCTGGGGGGCGGGGGGGGGGTCCCATGAAGGCTGAGGAGCCTGCTCATCACACAGGCTGGGTCAGGGAGTGGTAGCACGAGGTGGCCCCGCTCAGCCTCACACCGTGACAACCTGGGTGAGCTGTTCCTTCCCAGGTTTCCTTTCACGGGTCTGCACACCCTTGAACTGTGGACCCGGCAGTGGCCATTCGCCCCTGCAGTGGGGAACCCAAACACGTGTGCCTGCCAGGCCACCTCTCAGTGACTCAGCAGGAGTCGACCTCTGACCTCTGACACAAGCCAAAGTGTCCTGGGCCCTCAGGGTTCCAGTGGGCTCCCAACCGGGGACTTCCGGGTGTGGACCCTCCCGTCGGGGCAGGAGGTGGGGTTTCCAAGAGGCCGGAGAGAAGATCCGAGGGAGGGGGACAGGAGGGTCCCCACAGCAAGGACGCCGAGTTACTGGGGGCGGGGAGGTGGATGCGGGGTGGGATTCGGCTCACGGGCACGAGTCTAAGTGTTGCAGTTTTCGGGGTGCGCACCACAGGACTCCCGGGAATTAGCGGCTGCCTGCGCCACTGTCCCATCCACCGACCCTAGTCCAGGGTGTTGAGCGCAAAGGAACGGGGACGTCGGCTCTCCCCGCACTCAGGAGGGGACCCAGACGGAGTCCTGGCACCCATGGTGGCCTGGGGGGTCGCCCCAGGGAAGGGTCCAGGCCTGGCCCAGCACTCTCCCCAGATACCAACTAAGCCGACAAGGGCGGGAGCGACTAGGACCTCTCGGGCAGGCTCGCCCCGGGCCCTGGGCCCCGGGCCCCTTCCCGCACGGCTCCTCCTGGGCCC